AATGGACAAACATTCCCATAGACACACTCCTAAACCTTGTGGACAGCCTTCCCAGAAGAGTTGAAGCTGTTATAGCTGCAAAGGGTGGGCCAACTCAATATTGAATCCTACGGACTAAGACTGGAATACCATTAAAGTTCATGTGCGTGTAAAGGCAGGTGTCCCAATACTTTTGGCAATATAGTGTATCTTTAATCCATATGTGTACCATCCACTCCTGCAATGGGAATGGACTCACCAAAGATATAGATCCCTTTAAATTAGTGGGTCAAAAGCACATAGTGTTCGATAATCATCAAAATCCAATCAGTTTCCTTTCATTTATACTCCTCCTCAGTTATTCATTAAGACATAAAGGCAAAAGGTGGAAGAGCTTCATCACTTAAAACCATTTATTAAATATGACAATAAAAACAAATTGTACTCACATTATGTTGTGCTCGACCCAGCACTCAGGAATAACAGCCCATATACTTAATGGAGCAGCACTCCACCTGCAATCTCCGCACCTGAAACCCCACCCTAAGCATTTAATCTACAAACATGTCTTCAGGGGCAATCTATAGGGCTATAAGAATTGTTTGAGTATAAAAATCACACATGCATACACACATATAGGTTGAACTGCATGGACCCTGTGTCTCTTTTTCAACCTTATAAACTTCATAACTAGGCACCCAGGCTATGCACATTAAAGTAGTTACATGTTTATTAAAGGCACATTTAAATAATCATTTACTGGCCTTGTTAGCTTGAACTCCTATTGCTTTTCCCCTTTCCTATAAAAAGCAGAATCATAGCAGTCTGCCAGACTGCTTAAAATATACCTAAAGGCAAAACTTTTTTTTTTAGTTTTGGATAGAATGGAGAGGGATTAGAACCTATTTCAGTTTGTTTGTGTTGCTGCCTTTGATCCCGTTAAGGCGATTCACTCACTCTATTTGTCCTGTTTACCATTATGATTGAAAGTGAAAGTAAATAAAATACCACATTGTGGTTTGTCCCCAGAAAAGAAACAGATACGAAATATTCCAATGGGGACACTAGTTCTAGTGAACAGGGGGTCCCCAAGGGATTTCCTTCATTTGCATAAATTTCCTCTCATTTCCTGTTTGGCTATGGGACAGGAAGTGAAGGAAAATCTCCAAAATCGGACACAGATAGTTTTGCCTATGGTTCTACTTTAATATACAAATACCAACTGCTATAAAATGTAAAAAACTGACTGCCAAAGCCAAAACTTCAGAGCCTCTGTTGGGATCTATGATAATGAATTACTTCCCAGTACTTGCTTCTAGAGGGCCTGGTATGAATATTTTAATGTTTTTTACTGCTTGTCAAATCATATATTTACACCTTGATGCAATAGGCAACATTCTTCTCCTCCCCATCTTCTGCAATTCAAAACTGCATCTTTGTTTTATTTCTCTGTCTGTATCCATTTTTTTACTTTGTATGGTTCTCTTCCCCAAACATCCCCTCACCCCTGTCTGCAATTGTTGCCTAACAATTCCTCTGCTGTGAAGCCTCCTAGAATATGCACATCACATATCCCAGGGTGCATCACGTTCCATTCACTAGGGCTGGAGGTGAGGAGGCCGGAGATGCATCATCAGGGGACCCGGGCTGTCTGAACTAAGAAGATACACCTCACACCCAATAATATAACAGCAAAGACGGCAGTGCAGGACAATGCTGGATTTGCCGGCTAGGTGAATATGTGAAATGTTCAAAACACCAATGAAAAAAGTAAGGGGAGTAAAAAAAACATGGGGCATGGGAGACTGAAAGTACTCTTTAATATAAATACTGTAATGTCCATAGTCTGGGCACAGATGCACTTTAAAATGCAAATGAAATATATTACTTTTACAGGCTGATAATTTTTTTGTTGGGTAAAATATGCTGTTTCTCAACCTTTGTTCAGTCAAAGTTAAAATTTGGCACAATCTTGAGGCACCCCATTCTAAAATGTAAAAACTAAGCTTTGGAAGAATAAATCACATTCAGTGTGACTATTAAACTATTACATAGCGGAGGAACATTCACACATGTAGGACACCCAACATGATTTATACTTCCAAAGCAAACACACCTTTGCACACTGGTACTGAATAGTATTGCAGTGTTTCTCTCCGTCACTTAGTTAATGTTACCCCAGTGATGACGAAGGTGCCTGATGTCCTCCTGATCAAACTGATGATTGTTAGGGTGCTGGTGGCTAGAAAGTTATAATGGTGCACAATGAAACCCTTTGTGTATGAATACCTTTGTGTATCTAAGGCAGGCCATACACTATACAATTTTCTGTCCAATTTATGGCCAATTTCCTTTAGATTTGCCTTCAACTGTGTAGTGCAAGGGCCAGCCTAATTGGATACAACTGAAAGTGTTGTTTGGGTTTGACGTCCTATTATATGGTTTTTGGTAAATCTAAAGCAAAAATCTCATGAAAATTATATAATGTATGGCGAGCCTTAAAGGCAGGCTTGATCCACCCACTGGCTTGTATACATTTTTGGGGAAATTTTCAGGCATTTTACCAAGGCACCCCTGAAGAAACCTGAGGGCACCCTGGTTAAAAAAGGTTGGTTTAAGGGCTTGTTCACAACACATTGAGTTGCATTTTCCTGCATGTTGATATGTACTTCATTTTGAAGTTTATTTCTTCTGACATTACTTGTGTTGTGGGTTGAGAAAGAGATTTTCTGTGGAAATTTTTGAGAACATTTTTTGTATGTCTGCTTTAACAGCCCTGACTGTTATGGCATTTGCTATATTGAGGAGGAGAAGAAGACTAAAGCATCCTAAATTCCGCTTTGCGGTTCATTTGTTGCTGGCTCCATATGAAATGAAAGAGCAGTTTTCGACCATATACCATCATCTGTGAATTTACCAAGAAAAATTCTTTTAATGTGCTTGCCTTTTGAAATGTAGGTCTCAAAATGCAGTGCAAGTTTGTTGCACAGAAAATTGGTGTTTTCCATTTATCAAGCGTAGGAGGCTTTGGCAAGGTAGGGTGACAAGTGAGTGGCTCATTAACTTGGAAAACTAAGTATATGTGAATGTTCACTTTAATTATCCAATCATTCTAGTTTACTATAAATACCCAATCATGTGCAGATGAAATAATTTCACAGAAAATTGCTGTTAACATGATTGGCTAATTGAAGTGAAATGAATTTTCACATATGATATGTAAAAGATTTGAGTCTTGGCAAAATAAATAATGTGTGTAGTATCAACTACTTTTTTTTACCTCTTTCTGCTGACCTTATGCATATATGTGTGGCAGCACGGAGGGGGGTCTGTGCTCCCCAATATATTTGTTTGAAGCATGGTTAATCAATCAAAGTGATGGGCAGTACCATTGAGCCCACCCAGACACTCATACACAGAAGTATGTATGCCCCCCCCTCCCCTTGTCAACTCAGAGACTACCATCTAATAAGCTGCTTTAAGGTAATTATAACCATATAACAATAAATTTATTTTGATATATTGAAAATTCACCACTTAGTACTAAAGTACTTTAAAAAAGTGTGAAATCATAGGTCCCATTGAAGAAACTCATATATGGCCAGGTGCTTGGAGGAGGTATTCATAGAGTGGACACATTCAATGTAGAGAATGGTAATGTAATGATGCCATTAAATGTTGCTATGAACTACAGTGGAAATTGTATATGACTGGTATTAGGGGAATAGCAGCCACATCGGCCACCAGTTGTATGAAAATGAAATGCAACGTACTGAAGTGCGATTGCAAACCATTTATGCTAGGACTATTGTGTTGGTGCTTACCTCTGTAATCTAACATGCACATGTTGCACAAAGGTAAGCGGTGAACTTTTAATACACCAAAAAATATTTCCTTGGGGTTCAGCTGTACTGTCCATGGTACTTTTTCATTTGAACTAAAAGTTAAATCTTTTGTACATGCTTTTGGAGTGTACCCTTCTACTTCTTCTCGGATATAACACAGGGCAACATATTTTTTTTTGTGCCATGTAATTTTATGGAAACATTGAACTATTAGTACAAATAAAAGATGTATCGCAGACAGTGCTTAACTGTTTCATTTAGTGATCAAGCTCACTAAAATTGTAGGTGAAAACTGTTTTTATTTTCTACAAATTTAAAAATTTTACACAAAAACAAAGGCTCAGGTGAACAAAGTCTAATGATGAAATATCTGTTATCTGAAGATCACCATGAAGGCATAATGAAGAAAAACATTGGTCCCCCTTAAAAATGCATAAAAGACCTTTATCCGGGCATGCAGTCTGGGCAGCCAGGAAAGGGGAGGGAGGGTAGTGAAAGTGCAAGGGGGGGGGCCCTTTCCCCAAGGTCTCTTACCTTGTAAGGCACCTTGTCCCTATGGTGAGAGGGCAAAGTGTGGAAAACCCTTTTAGGATAAGAGGACCCCCAGGTATTGCCCCCCTCCATGTGACTGAGTATGGGGGAGGGGAGCACAGCGCCCCACAGTACTTCACAAAAAAAATAAGAATGTAAATATAAAAACTCACACCTCAAAAAAAGATTTTTATTAACCACTTGCCCTCCTGAGGATTTACCCCCCTTCCTGACCAGGCCATTTTATACGTTACAGCGCTGCGTTACTTTAATTGACGATTGCGTGGCCTTGGAACACTGCACCCAAATGAAATTTGCATCCTTTTCTTTCCACGAATTACCAGTAATCTTTCTTTTGGTGGTATTTGATCGCCTATGCATTTTTTATTTTTTGCGCTATAAAATATAAGACTGACAATTTTGACGAAAAATATTTTTGACTTTTTGCTATTAAACATGTCCAGTAAAAAAACTTTAAAAATCAAATTTCTACATAACTTTAGACCAAAATGTATTCTGCAACACGTCTTTGCTAAAATAAAATCCCAATACGTGTAAATTAATTGGTTTAAGTGAAAGTTACAACGTTTACAAATGGCGGTATAGATACTGGAATTTTTTTTTTTACTAGTAATGGCGGGATCAGCGACTGTGATGGACATTCTGACACTGGGGGGAACTGACTTGGTGTCACTGACATCCCCAGTGACACCAATACAGTGATCAGTGCTAAAATAAAAACACTGACACTGTACTAATGGCACTGGACAGGAAGGAGTTAACATGAGGGGTGCTCAAAGGGTTAACTGTGTGCAGGGTGTGTTTTACTAGGGGGCAGTGCCTGTGTGCTTCACTGTAAGCACACTGCTGTAGATGGCTGTGCTGTGCACAGCCATCCAAAGCAGTGTGCCCGAGCTGACAGGGAGAACTATTAGTAAACAAAACACTACTCCTCCCTGTCAGAGATCCTTGGTACTCACCAGGCAGCGGCAAGTAAACACTGGCCGGAGTCCGGTGATTGACAGCCGCAGCCGCGCATGCCCCCTACCCGAAAATGCAAAATCATGTATATATACATGACTTTGCACACCCGTGCCGCCCTGTAGCAGTATTTCTGCTATAGGGCGGTCAGGAAGCGGTTAAAGAAACTTTGTTTAGAAATGTATGAGCCACCAGCCACTGATTTGTACATTCTGCAGTCCCACCTAAATGAAAGCCTTAAAATAACCTATGAACTCTACACTACCAATAAATCATGAAAATATACTGGCAGTAAATGTTCACATGTGTGCTGTGAAAAATCACAGTGAGTTATGTCATACTGCAAGCTAATGCTAAACATATAATAATGTACTCACTGGTGGCTGTTTGCTGGGATTTCAATTGTTTTCCCCAATCTGGATAGATTTTGCATGCAATGTCTTGCCAAATCAAGGAGTTCTCCCTGTTGCCCTTATAATTGCAGCTGAGCTGGTTGTACAGCTCTTTGTGTTGCTGAACATGGCTGTAATTTGAAAAACTGGTCGATATCAATCCAGCTGCTGGACATTATTTTAACATATGTTAAAACAATCTCTGATCCAAAAAACAATAGTTTTCTATATATCCCTCTGTTGAGCCTGCATTTATCAATGCAGATCAACATGGGTCAGTGGTTATGGTGTGAATGAGCCCTAAAGGATTTGCAATTAAGGATCTGAAAAACAGGATCTGCTTTGGCTTTCTTTAGTCTTTAGAATTAAGAAAGCAATGACGCTTTGAATGATTTAGTAATTACACAACTTGTTCCAGATAGCTTTTCAGCACTAGTCTTTCAGCAATAGCTTTTCAGCACTAGAAAAGCATGTCTGCCACTGAACACTGCCGCTAATAGGAAATAGATCTTTCGCTTCTACAGATAGAAATTATTTTTGCAAACATACCGAAGCCTCAACTCCTTATAGGGACTGCAAGAAATAAACCTTTCAGGAGAAACCTCCAGTATACCCTAACACTAACCATTTCTATGCAATTGGAGAACTTCACTATTTCAAAACAGAACCTTTTCCCGAGATAAATATGGAGGCTGCAACTGCTAAATTCTCACTTTGTGAATACTAGTTGCCAGGCTATTATGCTGATCCTCTGGATTCAATACTATAAATCACTAAACCAGAACATATACACTCACTGGTGTAAAGATGTTTATTAGGGTACACCTTGCTAGTGCCAAGAAAATATCCCCCACACCATTACACCACCACCACCAGCCTGAACTGCTGATTTAAGGCAAGATGGATCCATGCCATTCTATTGTTACGCAGCCAAATTCTGGCCCTATCATCTGTTGAGCCTTGCCAGGTCAGGCAACATTTTTCCAATCATCTATTGTTCAATTTTGGTGAGCCTGTATGAATTGTAGCCTCCGTTTCCTTTTCTTAGCTGACAGGAGTGGCACCCGGTGTGGTCTTCTGCTGTAGCCCATCTACTTCAAGGTTCGACGTGTTGTGTGTTCAGAGATAGTATTCTGTATAACTTGGTTGTAACAAGTGGTTATTTGAGTCACTGTTGCCTTGCTATCACCTCAAACCTGTCTTCCTAGTCTCCTCTGACCTCTGACATCAACAAGGCATTTTTCTCCACACATCTGCCACTCACTGGATATTTTCATTTTTTCAGACCATTCTCTGTAAACCTTAGAGATGGTTGTGTTTAAAATTCCAGTAGATCATCATTTTTTTAAATACTCAGACCAGCCCTTCTGGCACAAACAACCATGCCATGTTTAAAGTCACTTAAATCCCCTTTCTTCCCCATTCTGATGCTTGGTTTGAACTTCAGCAAGCCATCTTCACCACGTCTAGATGCCTAAATGCATTGCGTTGCTGCCATGTGATTGACTGATTAGCAATTTGTTTTTACCAAGAAATTGAACAGGTGTACCTAATAATGTGGCTGGTGAGTGTGAGGAGCTCTGACTTTTTCAGTGACTTTCTTGACTGGCACACATTTTTTAGGTCAGTCACTCAGAAAGAACTGAACCCAGATGGATAGTATAGCAACCAAAAAAGAGATCAGCAATGATAGGTCCTATATTTCTATGGTTTATTGTAAAAATAAAAGATTTGGAAGGACAAATGAAGACAGTGTAAAGTAGACATCTCCAAATGGTGGACTGTAGTCTGGACAAGGATTAAGTGACAGCCTTATCCAGACCATGATGCATTTCTGATAAGTAAATACCATTTACAGTGGTGTATCCAAGGTGTGGCAGCTATAGCACTTGCCCTGGGTGAAGGAAGGATTGAGAACACTGATGTCAGCACCTGTGGTAGTGAGCCCTTGTAGATAGTTAACTTGGGGTTCCCCAAGGCGCGGAGTCTGCTTCTTCACCAGAGCCCCTGATGGCGAGAATGGACTTGCAGCAAGCTGGGACCAGGTCGCAGCCCCCTGGTACACCCAGCTGAGTATGAGGAGACCACTCGCAGGAGCAGAGTACAATGGGAGCAGACAAATGGAATCCGATAGACTAGCCGAGGTCAGGACGGGCGGAAAACAAGAACAGTCAGAGAACGAAGCCGGGGTCGGTACACGAGTAGTCAATGCAGGATACAGGTGATAGCAACACACATGAGCTCAGACAACTAGGAAGTTGCTCAGACAAAGTGGCCTAGACTGAGAATGTCTTATATAGGCAGGCAAACAAGGAGGCGGGCCAGGAAGTGATGGAAGGGAAGGAAATAAAACCCAGAGAACAGCAGATGTCGCCCATAGGTGAGCACAGACAAACACACATGTGAAAGGGATCAGGAACAGCACTGCAGCAAGGAGGTAAGAAAACACAAACAAGAAACTGCAGGCTAACTTGTGACAACTGATGTAAAAGGAGACTGGGATGTGAAGGAGGGCTGTGATGGTACTGTGATGTGAAGGGGAGGCTATTATGTGAAGTCAAGGCTATGATGTGTGTGTGTGTGTGTGGGGGGGGGGGGGGGTCAGTCTGTGATGTAAAAGGGAACTGTGATGTGATGGTGATGTGAAGGGGAGGAGGGGGGGCTCTGTGATGTAATAGGTCAAATGTGATGTAAAGGAGGATGTGTGATGTGAAGGGGGGTTATGTGAAGTTGGGGCTGCGATGTAAAAAGAAACTAAGGCACTAAGCTGTCTCAACTATTGAAGGCTGAAAATGTCTTAACAGTTTCCGCTGATATGAGCTCCTACTGGAGGATAGTAGCAAACAATAAAAGAAACATAAACACAGCACAATGACTTTGCAAGAAGTGTCAGAAAAAATGGCAAACTTTGTACAGAAAAAACAGTATAGCCTCAATTGTCCATAGAATATTGAAGCTATATGTTTTTTTTTTGTACAGACTTTGCCATTATTTCTGACATTTCCTGCAAAGTCCTTGTACTGTGTTCATGTGCCTTTTGATGTATAAGGCGGACTATGAAGTGAAGGGGGGGCTATGATGTGAAGAGGGCTGTAATGTAAAGGGGGACTCAAATGTGAAGAGGGATGTGATGTGAAATCGGGGCTGTGAAGTGAAGGGAAAACTATTATGTGAAGGTAGATGTGATGTGAAGGGGGAGCTGTGATGTAAAAAAGGAACTATCATTTGAAGGGAGGCTTTGATGTGAAGGGGGCTGTGATGTGAAGAGGGGCTGTGATGTGAAAGGGAGCTGTGATGTGAAGAGGGGCTGTGATGTGAAAGGGGGGTGTGATGTGAACAGTGGCTGTGATGTGAATGGGGGGGTGTGTGATGTGAAGAGGGGCAGTGATGTGAAGGGGGTGTGATTTGAAAAGAGGGCTGTGATGTGAAGACAGGCTGTGACGTAAAGAGGGGCTGTGATGTGAATAGGGGCTGTGATGTGAAGGGGGGGCTGTGATGTGAAGGGGGGGGGGCTGTGATGTAAATAGGGGTTGTAATGTGAAGGGGGGGGCTGTGATGTGAAGAGGGGCTGTGATGTGAAGAGAGGTTATGATGTGAAGTGTGTGGGGGGGGGGTGATGTGAAAAGGGGCTTTGATGTGTAAGGGGGGCTGTGATGTAAAGATAGGCTGTGATATGAAGATTGGCTGTGATATAAAGGAAGGGGGGGCTGTGATCTGAAGACAGGCTGTGATGTGAAGGGGGGGGGTGATGTGAATAGGGGCTATGATGTGAAGAGGGGCTGTGATGTGAAGAGGGGCTGTGATGTGAAGAGGGCTGTGATGTGAAGAGGGACTGTGATGCGAAGAGGGACTGTGATGTAAAGAGGGGCTGTGAAGTGAAGGGGGGCTGTGCTGTGCAAAGGGGCTGATATATGAAGAGGGGCTGTGATGTGAAGAGGAGCTGTGGTGAACAGGGGCTGTGATGTGAAGGGGGGCTGTAATGTGAAGGGGGGCTGTAATGTGAAGGGGGACTGTGATGTGAAAGGAGGCTGTGATGTAAAAGGGGGCTGTGATGTGAAAGGGGGCTGTGATGTGTAGAGGGGCTGTGATGTGAAGGGAGGCTGTGATGTGAAAAGGGGCTGAGATGTGAAAGGCAGACTGTGATTTGAAGGGGGACTGAGATGTTAAGGGGGAACTGTGAAGGGGGGAGCTGTGATGTAAAGGGGGGGGGGGGGGGGCTGTTATGTGAAAGATCTGAGTAATAACACAAATATGAGATTCAGACCTCTGCTAGAAGAAAATGCAACCAACAAGACTTCTATGAATTTTAGTTCAATACCCCTCTCCCAAAGTTTCTGGACCTTCATGGGAAATATTTTTTGGATATGAATTTTCAGTTTTACAAATACATTTTTACATTTTTATAACAGTTGATTACTCCCATATATATATAACTCTGTTACAAAGATTGTTTATAAACAAAGAAGAATTCTAATATTCTAATACATATTGAAACCTTAAATACTCACTATAATTTACTATTTGTTTTCATACACAAGGCATGATCATCACTCATTTCTTCCATGTACTTATGAGTACCATTGCTAGTGACTTAAATGAACTGTGCCATGAAACTTTAATGAAATTGGAATGTTTACTGGATGGCATCCAAGTGATAAAAAGAGAACTCAAGAATTTCAAGATATTTCAGATA